GACATGGATTGAGAAGTCAGGAGTGTATTTAACCTCTGTTGGTAGATGTTAGCCTGAAAGTGCCGGCACAGTATTTATCATGAAAGTGATGAAGACCTGTTGCAAATGCAGTATAAACTAATATCCTCTTAATTACTTAATGTTGCTGAATTTGCATCCAACTTTAGGACAGTGGTTTTTGATAGGCTGAAGCTCCCAGCAGATGTTTCCTGGGAACAGCTGCTGAGAACAAGTCTACTGCAGTTCGCACTGTGTTGCCTCATGGTGGCCAAATATTCTTTTGCTACCTTGCTACTTTTTGTAGCAAATAGTTGTAGGATTTTATCCACTTTATATACTGAAACTATCTCAGTAAGAGCAGGGTTCATGGGTGTTCGGTGGCTGGAAGAAGTTGGCTTACAGTTCTTGGGAATCTTGCAGGCTTTTTTTTTTTTTTTTTTTCGCTGAGTAAGCTCTCCTGGTCATGAGGTTCCTCAGATGCCCACAGATTTTACATTGCTTCTTGATCATGAAGTTACCTCTCGCCAACCTCACGTATCCGGTCGCTCTCTATGAAATCATGTCTGACTCCTTCTCTGCGTGGCCTTCGGTTCCGTTCACTTCCTTTCTTGCATTTCATCTTTAGTCGTTTGCTTCCACCCATAGAATTCAGAGCATCGTTTTCTTTGAAATAGGGATCCTGCTTTTCTTTAGCCCTATACAAAGCGTTGTGTAGGTGTGCCGCAGTACGAGGAGCTACAGGAATCTATCTTCTTTGAAACTTAGTTTTATGCACGTGTAATACTTCAGCTTGAGGCTTCATTAAACCTGCTTTCTCTGTAGGAGTCCAATCGCAGGTAAAATGACTGGGTTGAGTGGTACCTGTATGTGTTTCCTTTGAGGTATGACGATGTGGGCATCACTAGATACCCTGGGTGATGCTCCAGACTCTGCAGGTACCGCCTTTTGTACCTCCATGTATGCGTTAGTCTGAGTAAGAGAATGCCCAGAGGGAGATGAAAAGCTTGGATCTAGATGCTCTTTGGGAAAGATGAGACTAGCAGGCAAGAATGTCATGGCTGTGTGCTTGAAAGCAACTGATGTAGTGAAAAGAGGGGGAATCGGGTGTCCGAGGTCCTGTACAGCAACTTGAACAAGCGGGCGACAGCTGCCGGCTGGCCAAAACTGATGTTCCAGCTGTGGGTGGCAGGGGGGTGGGGGGGGGGGGGGGTTGGGGGGAGGACACAGCAGCAAAACGGTGAGACCTCAGAGCTGAAGCCTTCAAAGGCCTTGGAGCCCTAGCCTGGGAGGTGTCGGGCCTCGAGGCTTGGTGTGGGGGACCTCTGATGAGAGAGAGGAGTGCAGATCTGACCAGGAGGAGGCTGGATCATTTATTTCTGGATAAGAAGGGAAATCAAATCCAAACCCGCAGCTGGGATATTTGAAACCATCTGGACGTCTGAAACCTGGTGGCTCAGGATAGTGTAGTCGGAGAGTGGACTCGTGGGGTTTGGGAAGATTAGGCTCCAGGCTACGCGGGGTTTGTTTTTCTGGTGTTGGGAGATGCCCTTCTCCGAGAAGTGGGGATGTGTTTGTGCGTGCTGCTAGTTCACTCTTGGACCGTGGTTGCGTGGCTTGGGCTGTCCTGGCTCGACAGAGGTTTGTGAGCTCCGCCGATGTGCGTGGGCACTGGGAGAAGGGAGGCCGCGTGCCTGGGCGCTGAGAAGGGGAAAGAGGCGCCACTTCTCCGCGGTCCAGCTCCTCCAGCAGCACCGCGCGCTGCCCGTGCGGCTCCCCGGGGAGCGCTGCTGCTACCTGACCGAGTAGGTGTGATCCCGCCGCCTGGAGACCGGCGTTTGGGAGACGCCTCAAGGATGGAGCGATAGTCGGCGGCCCAGCTCCTGGGCGAGGTGAGGCCGGCTCGGGGGCGGATGGTTTTGCAAAGCGGGCCGCCCCCGGCCGCGGGCTGGGTGTCCGAGGGCGCCGAGGAGGCGCCCGCCGCCAGGGCTGCGGGCTCTGCTCCGGGGCAGGCATCTCGGCAAAGCCATGTTGATGGCATCTCTCTCTCTCTCTTTTTTTAAAACTGTTTTGGGCACTAAACAGTTAAAATAACATTAGAGGAAAAGAGCTCTCATGAATGAAGACAAAGTTTGGCAAGGTGCCAGGAGCTGCTGGCGCGGTGGGGGAGGGGGCGGCAGCTAACTGACTTTTATACCACAAACGACTTAAAAAAAAATTAAGAGATAATTCCATGTCCTGAGGTTACAAACCGGCTGCAACTGGTTTTTTTTTTTTTTCTCTCTCTCTCTCTCTTTTTTTTTTTTTTCCTCCTCTTTTTTTTCCCCTCCCC